GCTCCACCGCGAGCTCATCCACACAATTGGAAGACGTAACCAGACGCATTTAAAGATCGAACAGTAAATGCAAATAAATAAAACTGCAGAGCTGTGTTAGAGAATATCGAGAAGGAAGATGCTCGTATTCTTTTTCCACGACATCGTACTAAAGGGATCCGAGGGTGCGCGGCAGAGTCGCGTACTCTCCATACACTTAGGATAATATATCGGTCGTGCGATTGGTATCTTTATTATAAAGTGAAGCTCAAACCGGAATAATGGACAGACACTACATGTAATATTTGTGAAGAGGAAATTCAAGCATCGGATTGTGAATATGAATTGACGTTGTGAGTGTGATGTTATTGTTACCCCGGAGATTCAAGGTTTAGTTGCCTCTCTGAGAAGAAAAGAAAGAACCCTAAGCTGTCGGTTACGTTGGTACACGGTTACCGTAATATTTGGTTTTGAAGCGAAACATTATTTACGATTCACGATGATCAGCGAAAAAAAATGTCTAAAAGGTCTTTAAATGTATAACAGCAGTTTCTTTGCACTCGTTACCCTGTGTTGGTATTAACAATACTATAAATGAAAACTGGGTGTATATGTCAATCAATCGGAATCAAGTGCATAATAACTCGGACGCACACGAATGGATTTAATTGCTTCAATTATTACATTATACATATATATAAAGAACCAAATGGACATCTATAAGGCACTAAGGACAGTAATAAGTGTTACGTGATTATAATTGAATTGGTTGATCTAACGATAGTAGTGATAATTGATGGGTGAAAATACGTGGCGAAACAACAAAGCTGATGAAAAGGGTGGAATCTTTTTGTAGACCCTCATAATTAAGCCGACCTTCAGTTGGTGGTTTGAATTATTTCTAACCATCGGCGGTACCTGTACTCTGTGTATATCTCTTTATTTTCTTCGAACTGTGAGTATTTTTAAGGCGATTCTAATACGAGAGAAAGAGGGTGAGAGAAAAGAAGAAAAATGAGAGAAAGTTGTAGCTACGACAAAACCGATCTTTGTAAGAACTGCGTGTGTGTATGTGTCAGTGATAGTCAGCAAATGAATGTGGGAGTGATAGTAATTTCATTTTTCCTTTCTTTCGTCGATACAAGACAGAACATGCATTCAGCAAGTTTTTAAGTTAGAGAGTGACACGAGTGTCATTCGCGCACAAATCGTCGTAGGGAACTCTTCGTAATAATAATTATAAGACTTTGGCTCACATCGATGCAGGATTCGTTGAAGACGAAAACGTAAAAGATTTGCCGACGATTGAACGTTTCAAATCTATATATATATATATATTATATATAAAAAGAAAAATGAAGAAGAAAACAAAGAAAGGAATGAAACTGTCGACTAGGGTATATAAATTAATGATAGCGCGATTGATTTCATGTGTCACGTCGATGTAAAAGTATTTAACGAAATCTTAACAGTACATATGTATCCGAAGTTTTACCGAAACCGGTCAACAAAGTGGCAGGCGACCGAATTTTTACGACGTATCCTCTCTTTAGTAAACAAGCAAGAAAAAAAAACCACAAAAAAGAATCTGCACTTTAAAGAGTTACAAATCTCCGGCACACGTCCCAGCAATACTTATCATCACTACTACTACTACTACTATTACTACTACTACAACACCCCCCCCCCTTCACACTAATAATCTGATTTCATTGATTCCGGCTAAACCGATCTTGGTCACAAATTTTCCGAATCACTAAATATATAGTTAACTGTAGTCTTGATATTTCTCGGTATATGATACAAGTTAATAAACTAAAAATAGCATAATCATCTCTCTTTGTACTACGTGATAGATTTTCAACTCATACTTGATATAAACATGTACACCATAAAGTAACGTCTAACGATCGCATAATAGATCAAGATCTGTGTTTTTTGTGTAAGAGAAATCGAAATAATATCATTGTCAATATTTATCATTGTTGCCAGGACGCTCTACCGCTGTCTCTATCCTCCTGTCGCGTAAAACCGATTTTATTCGTCAACACGGGAGCAAGGAAGAACACGGTTTTTGTAACACGCACCGCCAGAAATGGGCTAAATTTTCTTCGAATAGTAGATTACGAATAATAACGCATAGCAATTTATTCGTTACGTTCATTCGATGGAGCAGTGAAATTTCTAGTTCGTTATATTTCAATCTATAACTGAGATTCTAAGTTTCTTTTTTTTTTTTGCGTAACGAGTAATGGATAAACAGTTTATCCTTTATTCGTTATTCAAAATATCTAGATACAAATTACACCTATCTCTGACGCATGTGATTACGTTTCAATCATACTTTCATCGACAGGACGTGAAGTTATCGCATTTTTGTATTTTGACTCTTGGGATAATACTAGAATGAAATGTTTAATACTTTTCGTACACAAGATATTCCGTCTGCTACATGCTAGATTTTCGTATATCGAGATTCTAAGGAATAATGAAAGGAAAACATCTTTCTCTGCCATTATTATACATTGTGTTGCAACATCTGGTATATTGATAACTAACGAAATGTTGATCGCTCTTCTTAAATTAATTATGATGTATACAAGGAAGATGTTCCTTTTTGTTTTATATCTTAGAGCACATAAAGTCCAGAAATATACAAGAGACTAATTAGTAGTACAATGTTTAAAGTACAATTCTCCTGATGTGAAATCGTAAATGAGGCATATTGCTATTGTCGATATACGGTTCTTAAGCTCAATTGGGATGTACATAAAGAGGGCCATGACGAAGAAAATGAAAACATTATATCGATAAGTCTTCCCACGTGGTCCTGGATTGTATATGCTCTAAGATAGCATCAAGAAAGAAAATTACCTATCCTTGCATATGTTACATCCAATATATCGTTATTTTAACATGCATAGCAGGGGTATCGGGTACCTGAAACTTCCAGTCGGGGTATTTCATCCATATTGGGTCGAAGTTTTGAAAGTTTCTTGTCATATAGGTACGTTTAGATACTGGAACCTCGATCGGTGACGAATTTTGAACAGGGATTAATCAGAGAACGAATCGTGAACTGTATTTCGTAACCTTTGTTGATCCTAATTTATTCGAGATGTTTGTATATTTGGAAAAGAAATAAAGTTTTTGTGTGAAACATTTGTATAGAGGGTCACGCGTTGCTGCAATTTTTGAAGCAGTACCTTGGCCACGAAAATATCTCTTGATCGTTGCAGATACAAGACAACGAGCGTGTGCGCATCTACCTTACGCATCGCGAGTCTGTAGCGGTGGAACGATACTTTTGAGTCAGTGTGCCAATGTGGTATGAAACTTTCCAGACCCTAAATATACCAGAGCCTCGGGCAGGGATGGACGAAATGTATTTCGAATACCTTACTATTTTGTATTCTGTTTGTGGTTATGCTTAAAAATATTCCCATGCTGTACTCGATAGCTGTGCAACTACGCGCAGGTATCGCGCGAATGCTGAGTATAATTCGTGTCCGACAGCCGAGTAAATGCAGAGTACTCGATTCTGTTTCAGCATTCGGTAGATTTTAATCTAGTTAACGAATACGTGGCTCACGAATACATTTGTATTGAAACAATTAAATGTGTGTCGTAGTCGTGTGTATATGGTATTAATGTGATGTTTCTTCTTTTTATATAATTAAATTTTATATAAATAAATAACTTAATAACGACATACACATTTTTTTTATACATCTGCAAACTTTATAAATCAGAACATTTCCACATGACTTTTTGTTTCGCTTATTACGTCATTTATGAACGATAACAGCGACCACCACACTAACGCCATATGAATGAATACAAAACACACGCAAGTCTGATATTCGATCGCCACAGAATACAATACGTCAGGTTATTCGTCGCTGCCTTCAGGTGCAATACTTTTTACGCGCAACTATTACCTACTCGTGGTTTCAGGTACCCAGCCCATCCCTCGTGCGAAATATTTGCGTTTACTTAAACCATCTCCTTTCCCACGTGACGAATATCGGCCCAAACCAAGTGAAGACGTGTCGATTATGTTCACCGAAATATGGACAATCTTACGCGAAAACAAGGAAAAAAAGAAGAAGAAAAAAACAAACGAGCCATTGTAATACGTTTCTTCCTATCTTCCTTTCTAGTCTTGTCTTTCACCTCTGCGTGGTGCTGTTTAAGAGTCAAGTGCTTTCGAGTGCTAACGTAATTTCATGTTCTAAAAAGAAGGGAAACCGTTGGGACATTTGGCGCAGAACGGTAGCGCTAGAAACGAAACAACATTAAAAATAAAAATAAACCAAGGTTTGGATCTGATGATTAAAAAAAGAAAAATACAGGACTTTAAAAACGGCAGAATAATGTATTCTTAACCTTTTGCGATCTGAATTTTCCGATCTCCGGATCGCAAAGGATTGATACACTCGAAGGAAAGCTGTGTAACAAAAAGAAAACGTGGTCCGACGTTTCGTAGGGTCGCGGAAATAGAATGTACGAATGTGAAAAATATCGAATAATACTCGGATCGCCGTATCGTCTGGAAAACAGATCTACGCACGCACCGTGGAAAATTTTACGTCCAAAAAATTCGTGCTGTTGTATCTTAAGTCTGACCACCTGACGAGAATCTCTCTGACCCCCCCCTCCCCCCCCCCCACACAATTTATAGGTTTTGTTATTAACAAAAAAAAAAAAAAAAAAAAAAGTACAGATTACCGAATACTCTGGAGACTACACGAATAAAGCTTATCAATGATTGTATCTCGAGTGATGTTTATTATTATTTTTTAATGCAACGATTATCGGGATCGATGACCTTTTGTGAACAATCGACCAGGAAACGTGAGACATTGTTGATTACGAAATCTTTGAGTTCCTCTTGTTCTTATTGTTTTTTTACTTTTTCTAGAGACTCGTTGATATCCGTCTACAGAGTATGGATGACAAGATAACGACTGAAGTGTGCTCGAGCAAAGTGTGCTCCACTTTGTTCCCTGTTAGCTACTGCTAAAAAAGTAAGCGATAATACTCCATCTACTTTTCCATGTACGTATTACATATATGTACTTTTCCGTTCTGGCCATTTGTTTTTTATTATGGCGTCTCGTATGTTTTCATGGCGTATCAACCGACTTTATTATTCAAGATCACCACCAGATGTCATGGACGAATTTTCGTGTTACCTCACGGGACGTCACTCGCAGCTTCAGATGGAAAAGTACCAGTTGTTCGCGGGTTCCAGGCTGGATCATCCAGCAGGATCGTTTCACGACCAAAGCAGAAGAGAACGTTTTCGGTAAATATTTTTACGAATCGGACACAATTCGTTCCGCAGTATCCTAGTTCCCGTGCAGCGAAATGTCCACAGCAAAAAATGACACGAGGACCAGTTTAGCAAGTCGAATGATAAACGCTATATTTAGAAACTCGATGTAAAACTTTCAACTTATGCAAGATACCATACCAATTCAGTTGGGACAGTGGTTCTTAACCTTTTTAAGCTCGCGATACAGTTTAAAAGAAAATTAGCCTTTATGGGAGTCACGGCGCACTTTTATTATTCAATCCTGAACAGCAGCGAGAATTCAATGATAGGCTGTTTATAAATTATACATTCGCTATTTGAAGTTAGTCATTACTTTATAGTGTAAGTAAAGCTTTCATTACTTACATTAGACACTACTTATTAGTGTATAAAGAGAAGTAACTGTATGTAGCGTCGCCGTTGCCAACGAGAGAGATGCGTACTTTGTGATTCAAATTCTCTCCCGTTGGTTGAAACGTCAAACAAGTATCGTTGGCTTGTTTCACTTGGTCCCGTTTCGTTCTACGCTTGTTACTAAATCAGTTCTGTTTCTTCTCGTACTCGACGAGGCATTTCTTGAAGTGCTTCGAGCAGAACGGATGCAGCGTCGGATGGTCGCAGGTCCTGCAGGCCGCTGCGAGATGGGAGCAGCATCGCAAGCTTTCGCGGCAGCACGAGGCCCACAATTCCGGGCCAGCTGTCGCGCAATTGTAGCAGTAACAATCCCCTTTGGAAGGAAAAAGAAACGATACTCATATCAGTTGTTCGTCAGGAAATCGATCTTGCGAAAAGCTTCTGTACTTTTAACCGATTTCGAAAGGGAGAAGTTTACTCGATTCGACATGTATTAGGTTGTTTCGAAAGTTTCTTTCGCGAGTTGCACTCAATTATTTTATGTGGTCGCGTTTATATAAATAGACAATCTAATTTCATAGATATTCATGTCGTAACAGTGATGGAGCAAAATGAATCGTGCACAATTCAGCAATGTAACATAAAATATTGCGTATGTATTACTTGTTAATAAAGCGAAAGAAACTTTTGGGACAACCTAATATTTCTTTTTTTTTTGTATGTTCACCGATTACGCCGAGATGGCTCGACCAGTCGGAATGAAACCTGTTGCATCTTGTAGTGCATGTTTCCCCGGTGGTCCCATTGTCAAGATTTTTTACGATGTCATTTTTTTTTACAATACCTACATAGTAATTTCCGTACTCACTGCAAGCTGCTTACGTATCTGTCTTTCTTTTTTTTTTACAAATCTACTTTGCCACAGGTGCGTTTGCCTCTCGTCGGATATTAGTCATCGCGATTCCGTTACTCATGGACGGTTGCATCACACGCAAGACACTCGATTCCTCGCGTAGAATAAGCGCAAGTGCGATTGGAAATGAAAAAGAACGGAATGGCTAACCGTATCGCGTATCACGCGCGGATTTTTCACGTGGAAACTGGTCTAGAACCAAGGACCGCTGTAAATCTTTTCGTGACGACGCACGCAAAGGTGGAACGCACGAGTCTCTCCCCTCGTAACGGTATTTGTTTATAGAGTTTTCCGATGGGATGCATGCGGAATGAAATCTCAGGCACAGTAGCGTATTACGCAACGCGTGTAAAACGAGTCAGTCGATTATCAATTCGCGGAGCATAGGCAGAGAATATTTTGAAGATTGTCGAGTAAAAGGAGAACCAATTATGCCGAGATATCGAGCGCATCGTTTTCATCGTGGTTACATTCTCGATGTGGTAATTAGGCGACCATGCGAGATTGGACGAGTAACGATAGTTCGGTCGTTAAATCATCGTTACCCGCGTTAGACGGTGAAAGGAGGGACACGATGCTCGACCAATACAAATTATCGCGATATGGCTAGATTCAATTTTCCCGTGTTCCCAATTCTACAGGAAAATTCACGTTGGAAACGTTAGGGTTAACTTAAAGTTCGTATCCATTTTTCTTCTTTCTTTCTGTATCATATAAAGGACATTTTCAAATTTACAGTGGATGTAGAAAGTATTCGTATACCGATCAGTTTCCAAAAAAACTATGTAAAATTGTAATTTAGTAACTTATTTTTTATAAACAATGACGTTCTACATATTCTCGGAAATCTCTAGAATAGATAGAGTACAACAAAAAAAAATAGCTATTTATGTAAGTTACGTAATTAACAAAAAAAGAAAACAATTGATAGAAATGTTGAAGCAATAAGTGTTCGTACAACTGTTTAATCTTTAAAACTTGATTAAAAAAAAAGAAATTTATATTAATTTATAAGTATATAATACTTCCTTAGTGGGATTTTCTTTTGATTTTATACTTATTGCAACTCTTCTAAGTATTAAATTAACTAAATTATTAGTTAGAAGTTAATAAGAAGTGGGATCTTTTTCCATTCCTCTATTAGAGCTATTTTTAAAAGTACTTTATTGGAAATTTGATGTTTTCTAATTTGTACGAAGCCATAAACTAATGTGTTTACGTTACAAACTCTACTGTAAATGGTTCGCCATAAAAATCGTACAAGTACCTATTGCTTTTATACTTTTACCCACTTTTCGCATGTTTTTGTTAATTTCACAAATTATATTAACTAGTAAATGTTGTTTGGACTACATCTATCTTAAAGATTTCCGAGAATATGTAAAGTATCATTGATTATAAAAAAAGAAGTTAACAAACTACAATTTCACACAAAAGTTTTTTGGGAAATTGATCGGTGTACGAATGCATTCTACATCCACTGTGCATCACACTTCGCGGGACACCCAGTTCAACGGGTTACGTGTATTTCTAGGAAAAGGTGAAACCACACTTTTAATTGTGCTTGTAAATTTTTCGTCATTAAAAACTGGCTTTCTCCGCGGATGTCCCAATTTCGAGTCAGTTACGAGTCGGTTTTCGAGCACGGATGAACGAATAGTAAAAAAAAAAAAAAAAAAAAAATATGGTCTTCTCGAAGCCTCGCTATTAAATGGAGAAAGTGTCGTCTGAAGATTTAACCCCTCAGGGGTTGATGTTATTTTCTTAATGTCGAAGAAGTAGAAACGTTTCCGGAGCGCTTTTGATTACGGAAACAACGATTCGTAACGGAGCTCCCGGCAATCTGCTTTTTCTCAAACGAAACACTTCCACTTTCCATTCCGTTCGTTGTCAAATGGCCAGTTGGCGATTTAACACAATGCAACGGACGAGGTTCGCATGCAAGTGTCGAGGTTACATTGTGCTGGCTCGCGGTAAATAACGGACAAAAGGTTAAATTACAATGTGAATCAATTATTTGATCGGGATTCCATTCGATCCATAGGCGCGTTTAATTCATAGATTAACACTTTCGCGCGGCGGCGTTCATTTAGCGCGAGCAAAACATGTCCAGGAGTGGCTGTAATGTATGCTTCGATTCACCTCGAAAAGTCGCGCAGTTTATGAAAGCCGTGATGTAAGTTCGTATTATACTGTTCGAAATGATCGGTTGACTCGTAATCTTGTATTTCTCCTTCTATTCGAAAGCTCTTCGATAACTCTCCATGGCTCTTCGAGTCACGTGCTTTTGTTTACCCGAGTTTTTCTTTTAATCAAACCGAGCATCGTTAGTTGCGCAATGTTTTTTTTTTCGTCGGTATTTATCGAGTCACTTTTCCCGATTATCCACGCACGTCTTGATCTTCGCGGGGAAAGTAGAAACGTTCCTGAAAGTGATTTACCGCGCCACGGTGAATTAGAGGACGCGACGCACGGATCGCTAGATCTAGCGTTTAATTCGTAGATCAACACTCTCGCGAAGCTTGCATTTATCGTGGGCAAACAATGCCCGTGGGAGTGGCTATGTCAAGGTCAGAATCTCAATCGCATACCGCGGAAACCGTTGTTTTTCCAAAGCAGCTTGAGTTACCACCATTCTCTGAAGATTCGTGTAAACTAAATGTCATAGCAGTAACCCGCACGGTTCAAAAATTAAGCAATTTAACACGTTCACGTCGGCGTGTACCATCATCGGTGACACGCGCTTGACTTTCTCATCGGGCGGCGCGTACCACCGGTGGCTCGCGCTCGCGTGTCTATCAGATGACGTGTACCACCGCGCCGCCCCATGGCGAGAAAGACAAATAGCAGCGCCGGCGTGAATGTGTCAATAATGAATCTTGCAAAGGGTTAATATGTCGAGCTCACCTTCTGGGCAGTCGACGGATCGACGGGCTTCGGCTCTTCTGCACTCGAGGCCTTCCTCACCTTTTGGGCAGGAGACGAAAGAGTCCTCGATGGAATTTTCTCCCAGTATTGCATTAATCTGAAAGTACGTGGTGCCAGACAGGTTCATCGCGGTCAGCGAGCGTGCAATGTTTGCGAATGTTCTTAACCTATTTATGCCTCTAGTAAACATTTCATACATCATGTAAATTACAAACTCTAACATTTGAACAAGTATAATCGTTAATTACACGGATCGTAATTACGATCTTCTCGGAATCGCTAGAGTCCCATGGACTCGTAATAGTTAGACTCGTGCGTGTACGGACGTTCTCCGGTTACAATTATTTTTTTTGTTACGCAATAGAGTACCGGTACTCGTAGCAGCAAACCGATTCAGAGTCCTTCGCGCCAGGGATGGGCATTTTATCCCATATTTATATAGGAATCGGTTTAAAGAAGATATACATCAGCCGTAGAAATGAATTCTGTGCTTTTATATTAAATCATTCACGACTTTAGTTTAAGTAGAAATATTTAATCGTCGTTACGAAAACTAGAGTTACAAAGGATCGAATATGGAGGCGCAGTATCGATTTTCACGATCTAACATTATAAAATATTTTAATAAAGTAGAATGGCCCTGTTTAGAAATTCTGACGTTTCGCTCGATCCTCGAAAATTGTTATCGACGGTTCGCGAAACGAGTACGATTACTTTTCAAAAGCTCACTCGTTTGAACGCTCCAGGTTTGGAGAACATTTTGACCAGTTTCGCTAGCGCGTTCTCCTCCGTGACGCTCGTGACATTTTCCTGGCAATGGTGGCCGACGAACACCAAAAACGAACAGAGAATCAACAATGCACCGCGGGCACACATCACCGTCGTGGGGACGTTAAAAAAAAAAATGGAATTTAATAAAAGCTCGCGTCGCCTCGTCCCGGTTAATTTGAAATCACGACTGGTGGTCAGGTGACGGAGAAGCGTACCGACAGTTTGAGTTCTGCGTGCGTTTTACTTTCTGGAGGGGAGCTATTCTACATTACGACATGCGGGACGGTCGTTTGTATCGGACACCACGTTATAATGCCTGAGCTTTTAAAATTTATCTATGTAAACTATCGACCAAAAATTTCGTTTAGTTTGTAGCGATGGTTGTCTCTCTGCATTTCGGATAGTTATTAACTTATTAACTTGACCGAGAACTTTTACAAACGTGGAATCATGAATTTGCTCAAAAGATACTCGAATAGTACGCAATCTATTATATTTGAATAGAAAATATAAAAGATATGCAACTCTTGATGCGTTGTTCGTTCGATAAAAATAACAATTCATATTATACAATCAAATAATGTTCGAACAAACAAAAGTTTATTCGAGTAACTATTGTATACTGGAATAAACGTTGCAACTAGTCTTTAGGATATCTTCGGAAGCTGCTTGTTGCAATTCTTGCCGCTAATAGCGTTGCTATTTTGTTCTATTCTGAATCGATAACGTTGGATGTGATAACGAAATGGTACGAGATAGGGGGCTCTTATCAGAGCTACCTAATTCTGATATAGGTAAACAGTGTTTTGCAGACATTATTTATATGTTGTGCATATTTATCGAAACTCGGTGTATAAATTATTTAAGAAATAATAATCTATTCATCATTGGTACATCAAATTTAACAAATCCAATCTAAAGTTACAACTATCTCGAAGGGAGAATAGTATCCCTTAGTTTGGTGAGTAGTATTCCTCTCAGAAGAAACGAATTAATAGATCTTCGTGTGTGTACTCCTATAAATCTGTCCTATAAATCGTAATCATTCTACCTCCATCAACTCCAGTGGAGAATTCATCGAGTGTTAGTAGTCGTATGACGTTTTACCAACAGTCGTGCAATTAATTCTCTAAATTGAAACATTGATCAAAAGAACACTTCGTTCAATTAGTGATCTAGCTAAAATTTAAACAGTTTCAAGTAAAAGTACGTCTTATTTAAATGAAATGACTTAAAGACAGCTAGAAGTCTCGATCGAAAAACTACGATATGTACGTATGTAAATAATATATACATGCGTACCTTATAACCTCAAATGCGTTGTTTCTGACAGTTGTATAAATTAAGGAGAAGTACTCTATGTCTTGCTTTCGTTTGAACTTGTTTACTATCGGATAAATACTGTGCGTTAAAAATGGGCGATTCCGACGACGAAAATTATGTTTCTTTTGGAGTTCCCCTGGAACCTATAGACGAAGGTAGGTTGAAGTTTTTTAGGATGAGTTTTACCATATACATTAGCTCTTTGTTTATACATGGATTTATTGCAGATAATGTTCCGAGAAAGAAACCTATGTCCATAGAAAATCAATGTGTGTATGACGAACAAGGTAGACGTAGATTTCATGGAGCATTTACGGGTGGTTTCTCTGCTGGATATTATAATACAGTTGGTACACAAGATGGATGGAGACCACAGCAATTTAAGTCCTCTAGGAGTAGTAAGGCAGAAAACATTGCTCAAAGACCGGAAGATTTTATGGATGATGAGGACACAAGTCAGTTTGGAATAGCACCCAAAGGTATTCGTGCTACCAGCGATTATGCTGACCATGGTCAAAGAGGAGTAAAACGAGAGAGAATGAATCGTGAGAGCAGTGGTCCCATTCCTGGTACTCCACTGTTAAAGGCCCTTTTAAAGCCTGTAAAGTATGTAGCTTTTCAATCTAAAATTTTATTAATTTATAAATGTAAAATTATCAGCCTTAATTGTTCATTAATATTTAACCTAATATCCAGGGAAACAGTTGGTATTACACTGCTGAAACAAATGGGATGGAGGCCAGGTCAGGGTGTTGGATCCAGACTTACAAAAAAGGAGAAAGCTAAAATAAGAAGAAGAAATGACAAAATAAAGACACTGCAACAACAGTCTAGAAAACCAACTTCGGAAAGTAGCTCGGAAGATTCGGAAGATGATTATAAAGATATTACATTTGCTCCCGACGATTACGAGCCATTCAGGTACATTCTTTACGCTATAATTTTGTTGAACAGTAAACAAATGTCGATGGCATGAAAATTAAATTATCGTTAATTTGTTACAGGTGTAACCCAAAAGGTAATTTCTTTGGTATAGGATACAGTGGCTTGGATAGGAGAACGGTACTTTCCGGTCATATAGATTTATTCGATGCTCCTGCATTTAGTATACGAGAGAAAAACAAGAAGCTATCGATACATGGACAAGCGTTCGGAGTTGGCGCGTTCGAAGCTGACGACGAAGATATATACGAAACGGAAGATATGTCGCGTTACGACTTCGCGTTAGGTCCGGAAGCGAAGAAGAAGACGAGGTGGTCCGACGATACTCGTCACGGACACACGAACGATTGTTTAGATGGTTTCGCGCCAGCGAAAAATAGATTAGAATCCAAGAAGGTTTTCCCACCTCCAGAGTTACCTAAAGATTTTATACCAATGCATGCAGTCAGAAAAAGTCGATTTTATCCACCAATCGAGAATGTACCTCGCACGGTAGAAAACGGGAGACGTAAAGATCTTACAGCCGCGGACAGGGCTAGAATATTGGAGGACACGGCCAGTATTAAAAAAGTATCGGATACGCATCCAAATGCAGTGCCGTCGGTTGCTTCCAACATCATTACCAAAACGTTGAATTTACACGGCAAGCAGCAAACCGAGGAGAGGCAAAAACTAGAATCTCAACAAGCTAAAGGAGCGATGTCGTGGATGGACAAATTGAATCTACAGAGTTTTATCAAAGGAGGCGTCGTTGGATTTAGTAAAGAATCCGAAGGTAGTTTGAAAAAATTGGAAGAGTTCAAAGACTCTCCCTCTACATCAAAAGAATGCCAAATAATTACGGACAGTAGCAAATCCGAGGAAGACGATTCCACGAAGAAAAGTACAGCGAAACCATTTTTATCCGATCCTGATAAGCAAAGACGTTTCGAGCAATACTTAGCTCTCTCCAAGAAATCTGAACAAAGTAAACTCGAGAGTATACAACCGTTATCGATGACGGAATGGGACAGAGAACACGAGCGGACCGAATTCGAGCAAGCAGCTCGATTATTTGATCAGCCAACGAGTGATTACGTTGCGAGCAAGTTTACGGCTGCTTCTGACTCTGTGACTTCAGACGGAGACTCTGCGAAAGGTAGCCAGGAGGACGAAATGAAACAGGCTGTGAAGATGAAAATGTTTGGGAAACTAACCAGAGAGCGCATAGAATGGAAGCCTGCTAGTATAGTATGCAAGAGATTTAATATTCCTGAACCAAGAGTCGGTTGCGCCCAACCGGAATTGCAGAAGAAGACGGTTAAGTTTTCAATCTTTGATTCTCTTAATTGGAGTAATTCTACGAAATTTTCAAGAGCAACCGACACAGTATCTCGAGAATCGGACATAGTCGATTCTCGATCGAAAGACAGAAGTGTTGTTACCAGTGCGAACTCGGAAGTAAAGTCAGATAACGGTGTACCTCTCGACGATCGTCAGGCATTGGAGCCTGTGTCTGAGAAAATAAGAAATTTTGAGGCTACTTATGAAAAAGTTTTCGGCAAAGAGGTTCAAGAAGCATCCTCCAGGATTCCCGAAGTCGAGCCAATCTTGCCCAGTACGATAGATTTGACTGCTCCATCCGAGACTGTGGACAAAGTTGAGAAGGTCAAGGAAGACGAGAACGCATCGAGATCAGAACCAAAGAGCAAATCCGAAGAAAAGAAAGATCTCTTCAAGGCGATCTTCTTGAGCAGCAGCGAAGAATCTGATTCGGAGCCAGAGGAAAGCATGGACAGCGAGGCGGTGAAGTCAGTTCTGATCGGTAAAGCGCCAAGCGAATTGAACGTGAACAGGAACACTTCTCCGCCAAGGGGCATTTTCGCTAAAGTAGATTTGGACAGTTTACTCGCGAGTTCGAAGAGCAGTGCTCAAGCAAACGAAAATGTAAATAAAGAGAAAGATATCGTAAACTTTTGTCACTTCGCGACAAATCCCGAACCAGGGACTGGATCCAACCAAAGCAACGACGGTAGTTCGAACCCTGTGGAGCCGGCGATGTTGCCCGACATGTATGGACCAGTTCTTCCCTCGAGGTTATTAAAAAGTGACAATTCTGCATCGGAGGCGTCCAGTTCTCAGACTTTGAAGCCTGTGTTTAAAAGTGTCGTGGTACCGAAACCCAAGACTGACTCTAAAGTTTCCGGGGTATGGGTGGAGCGAGAAAAAGTGAAGAAGTCGAAGAAGGAGAAGAAGAAGCACAAGCACAAAGAGCATAAAAGTTCCAAACACAAGCGGAAATCTAAGAAAAACAAGAGGGACTCGTGATTTAGGAGATTAAAATTGTAATAAAGAAATGAAACGAGAACCGCGTCGATAATGGAAACAAGTGTGCTGTTTATTTGTTGCACGTTTCTTTTTTTTTTACAGCGTCGTATAGCGCGGTTTTTTTACATTTAATGAAGTACTTGGAAATGCTTGTGCAAATCTGTAATTACAATGGCAAGTCTATAAATTACAATCGGTAAAGGCACATCCGATATGTACAAGAATATAGTTATCTTTTTGTATATGCTCTACGCGTAATTGAGCAATCCCCTTTATTTCACTGTAGCGTCACTTGTCGCTGTTGTACGCTTAAACGATAATTACGTTGTCAAGTTACTTGTTCGACGTCGTAGAGTTCCTCGAAGGTGGTCTGCTGTGATTCGTAGAGTTAAGCTTCTTCTCCACGCTGAAAAATGAAAATTCATCGATGAACATGTTTTCATAGCAGAGTTACGTCCGACTAATTTAGGGTAGAAACATTAAGTTACAGATATTACAGTATGATTTGTAATATTTATTCCATTGTCGCAAATATGAATTACTTTGCTTTTCTCTCAACGAGTCAAGTTAAACCGCATACCTGTTGCTCCTGGAACCTCTTTTAAACATGTCTGTTAACTTCTTTTTCAGATTTCTCTTTTCAGTCTTTTCGCTGATGCTCGTCTCGGATCCTGAAGTCTGCAAAAAGGAAAATCGATTTGGAGTTACTGCTTCCATCGAACGAACGCGTCCGTTATTCATCTACCTGAAGGGAAAGGTCCATGGAAACGTTCGGATCATCCACGCTGGCAGATTTAGTCAATTTAGTCGTGAGTTTTTTTATTATCCCTTTCCCGTGCTTCTTCTCTCGTTCCAGCATCTCGCTTTTCGTGGAACCAGTAGAAAGGCGGCTGAACATTGACAATAATGAATCGTTACTACCTTTAACGAACTTCTGCGTTTATGAAGTCACGTAAAATTCTAGTAACTCTTTACCTATCCACGCTGGAATCTCTCTGCAAGCTAAGCGTTCTTCCGCCAATTTCTGAACCTTCTAACGACTGCAAACTGGACATGTTGCTATCGGTGCCCCAAATGCGTTGCGACTAAAGCATTAAACAAGCGATATTTAATATTCATTTCAATTATATTTTGTCCAAGATCTCTGTTATAAGTTATACGCACATCGTCGTTTCGCGGCGATGTCTGTTCCAAAGACAGACTCTTCCTTTGCAGACGTGGTTTAGAGCGGCTCGATGTTATACCCTTTCCTGGATCGCTCTCCACTGACGTCGATCTGTAATTTCAGAATACAGTTAAATGTCAGGATTCATGTTGAATAGAACATTTATTGCCAGTGATTGATACCTTTTACCAAGTTTCTTCATCCGTGTCACGTTAGCCTCGTCAGCTGCCTTCTTTGATTCCTTCAATTTCTTTGCCACGTCCATTAGGTTCTTAATGGTGTACTCCAGCTTTTCCGTCCTCTCAGCCAATTGCGTGTTCGAACCTGCAAATGAATATATTTTAATGCAAATTCAAATATTAATAACGTTTAGCCATACCTCTTATATCTCCCTTCGAGTCCAGCATTGGCGACGATTCCCTCGACTTTGGTCCCTGCGAGAAGGTCCAAGTTTTACACGTTTATTTCTTTATTAAACTTGCAACTTAGAATACCTTCAATCGTCTAGGTGGCGTCGGCGTGTAAACGTTCGAAGTTCCATTCTCAGCTATGCCGTTTAATTCAGGGAAAAGTTTCGTCAAGTCGTTGACTTGTTGCAGCAACGTGTTGATATTTCGCAACTCGTTTTGTTCCTGCTTGGATTTCTTCATGATCGCGTCCCTGAGCTCTTCCCGCTCTTTTTCGTGCCGCTCCTTCTCCCGTCTCATCTTCTCGTTGCTGGTCCTCAGCTTCGCGTGGGCATCCCTCAGCTCGAGCAGATCGCATTGCAACTGCAGAAATAAACATTTTGTCAGGGAACTCGGCGAATTTCGCAGCTTGCGACACAGCTGTTCGCTGTTTACCTCCAGCAATTTCTTCTTGCTCTCTTCCTTCTCTTCGTCGTACACCTTCTTCAACTGGTCTTGCCGCCTCTTGGTCTCCAGCCGTTCCTTGGAACGTTCTCTCTCGATCTGAGAAAATAGTCGAGTCATTTAAAATCGAAACTTCTTTATTTTTTAATCAACGCACTTCGAATAGAGTTTGTCGTAGGTCTCTCGCGAGCGTTGCGGTTTCTTGCAACAGCCTCTGGTGTTCCTCCCTCTCCTTCTGCCAAGCCAACTCCATGCGAACTTTCAGCCCTGGAATCTTCGTTCTACCACTCGTCAGCATTCGTTCCTCTTCCAGCTATGGATACATAGAGAGAGAGAGAGTAAATAGAACTGATTGAAAAATTGCGATAAGACGAGCCTCTACCTCGTTGATCCGCGATTGGAGCTCGGACACCTTAACGTGACTGGCTGATTTTTCAGAGACGAGTTCTGCTTTAAGTCTGGAAACCTCTAATCTTGACTCTGAAAGCTCGTCCTCCAAGTTGACGATCTGCCTTTCGAGGACTATCGCGCTGGTGCTAGACACTTCCTCCTCCTGCATCGGAACAAGGAAAAGCAACATTAAATTTCTCTTCCATCGTTCCAAGACGTCGATTATTGTTGGGCCCGTATATTTACAAAGGACCAACCTCGTCAGACTTTGCCAAAGACATGCTCGACTGTCTACCCCTAGCAGACTTCAACTCCGCGATGGTTTTCTGGGCGCCTTCCAACATGTGCTTGTACGTGTCGCGTTCGCGCTTGTACCTGGACAGTTGGTTCTGAATAGCTTGGATTTCGTCGGTGATGGCGGTGATCCTGTGCTCGTATCGCATCTTGCACTGAGCCAGGTCCGCTTTCTTCGCCTTCTCCATGTTCTCCAGGGCGCTCTTCAGCTTCCGTATCTCCGTCTCCAGGGCAGTAGTGTCCGGCGTCAGAGCTTGATGGATCTTGGACACGGCCTCGTAGTCCTTCAACTTGTCCGAGAGATCGTCATTCTGCGAAGTGCGTTTTGAAAATGTTAGACCTATCGGTTAAACTCCAAACGAGTAACGTAATCTAAATTCCTTATAGAATCGCTTACAGCCTTCCTTATGTCTTCCAATCGCGTCACCAAGGTATTGTTCTCCTTCTTCAAGTTACTGATGTCATTGTTCAGGTCTGTTATCAGAGCCTTGTTTGGCAACTCGCTCTCTTTCACTCGGTTCTGAAACATTTCCGTCCGTTTGTAATTTGAAAATGCTGTTTACCGAATTATGCTCACTTCTAAAGCAGCCTTCTCCGACTTCCACTCGCTCTCTTTCAGTTTGATGGACTGGCGCAACGATTCCAGTTCCTTGCGAATGCTCATGAGCTCCGTGTTCTGTTCCCTCAGTTTGCTGCGGTTGTTTAATTAAACATATCATTACAAGAATGTCTTCATGAATTCTTCATGAATTTCAGTGACGAAATGAAGAGTACATTCATCTTATTTACCTATTGAGAGCTTCGTTGTCCAACTCGAATTGTTTATTTAGATTACCGAGTTCGTTGCACTTCCCACTCAGATTGTCGTACTCCTGCTGGCCCCTCTTCAGCTCGTTCTCCAAATCTGTAACGTAGGACACTGTTACCTTATATAGAATCTCTCTCACGCGACTCCGTTTATCAGAGCAAAACAACTCACTCAAGATCTTCTCGTTGTACGTTTGCCTCAGCTCATTCATTCGCTTCGAATTCAATCCAGTCTTCTCTAACGAGCTGATCTTCTTCTTCAAAGTGGCCACTTCGGTCTCCTTCGATTGTTTCTCTTGATCGATTTGAGACACTAGTTTCTCCTTCTCTTTCTTCAGGTCCGTGATTTCCGTCGTCAGATCGCTGATCTTCGTGGAATTGGAGGATTTGGTGCTCTCCAGCTCTTTCTTCAAGCGTTTCACCTCTGCGTCGAGTTTCGTTTTCGATTGCTCGACCTGCGTTTTAAGAGAAATTCGTCAACCATGAGTTTATTTCGTTTGCGATTTCGCGACGAATCACTCACGGAGGACATCGACTGTGTCATTTTCGACTCCCGTTCCGTGTACGCCGACAGATCGTCTTGCAGCTTCTTGCACCTGTCTCGTTCCTGCGACAAATCCTTCTTCAGGTCGTTTATCGTCTTCTCCATCTTGGCGCCTTCCTTCTCCGATGATTTCGCCGTTTCTACGTTCGAAGAAAAAGCGTTTTAAGCGACACTCTCGCGCGCTGACTTCAGCTCGCGTTTAACATTTTTACCCAAGTCTTTCTTCAGTTGAACGACTTCGTTGTAGACTTTCAGTTTCTCCGCGGATAGGGATAAGAGTTTCGACTTTAATTTTTCCTTTTCCTCCAACAGGGCCGTTTTCTCTTCGTCCCATGCCTTTCGTTCGGTTTCCCTCATGGTCACGGCATCGTCTAATTTCCTTTTTACTAGAACATTTTAAGAAATAAAGGTTGACTCGAAACTAAGGTGCGTAGAGTATTACATGACATACTGTTTTGTAGATCTGTATTTTTGTCATCTGCCTTGGCGCCGAAAGGCGTTTTCTTTTTTTCCTTTTCATCCGCCAATTCTTTCATCACAACGTCGAGTTTTTCCTTGAGCAGATCGTGTTCCTTCAAGAGTTTATCGTATTTCGCGTATTCCTTGGATTTCATGTCAATATCCATCTCTTTGCCGTCAGAAACGTTTACGAAAACGGCCATCATGTCGCCTAAAATAATTACAGAACACTCCGATCGTATTAACAATGTTTGAAAGTTTCTCGAGCACGCGTAATAATACTAAAAATTCAGTCGAATATTGTCCATTGTTTAGTGGCAGTGAGCGAACCTATTTCCTTCTCCATTTCGTCCACCAGTTTCTTTAGTTGTACTTTGGTCGTGAATTCGCTCGTCTTCTTCTGAGCCCTGTTTTGGAATTCATTTTTAATCTTCTTCAACGATTCGTCGACTTTTTTCACCTGGAAAGCGCCAGGTTTTAACGTTAAGCTAAATTAAGAAACTTAATTTCACTGTAGGACTGTCTGTTTCCTTACCTCTTCGTACTTCTTCTCTATAGTCGTTTTTTCAGTCTCCAACTCCTCCACCTTTCGCTCGACTTTCCTCAGCTTGAACGATAAAATTCGACAATTTTTATTCGACTGTTCCAAACTTTTTCGCAGACGGACGTACTCGTCCGCTTGCTCATCCCTTAACAATACGAAATATATTCATATATTACGTATTTACTTGGACCATCGTGAACGATACAGCGTTATCGGAACAGGATAATAATAGAATTATTGACAAGTGTAACTTTACATTAAAAAAATTTGTTTTAAACACTATCGGAGGTCTAACGAGACATCCGTTCTTATTAATGAAATTATCCAATTCCGTGGAGTAAGCTCGAATCGAAAATACGCCAGGCTGAGTCGTAATTACCTTTTGTTAATTACTCACGAACACATTCAATCAAATGGAAGCCGTAACGCCAGTGTAGGAACAGCACTGTAGGGGGCAAGCACCGAGAAGCACGGCTGCGGATTTTATGCATTCGTACCTTAGTATAAAGAACAGTTGCAAAACGTCCGCAAAATCTAACTAACTGAGACAATAATAAGATGTAACAGTCCTAATGTTTCGTTTCGTACAAGTCCGTATTCCGTTTTCATTTAGCCTATGTTTTCCATATCGAGCCATAATCGCATAAAATCCGCGGTCGATTCACTAACAAAAAAAGAAAACGTTACCAGAGCGAGTCATAATTCGCCATTATTCGAATCAAGTGTTCGCCAATCGGTTAATGAACCTGAATTCATATAAATCGTAATGCGTTTAGAATTCTTACGATAGCTTCTTAGTATTTTTTATTTCGGGGAGAATGAGTGCGATCGATGAATCAAACTACTTTCAAAAAATTTCTCTCTGGACTGCGACAGGCGGATTCAAGCAATTTTGTTTAGAGAAAAGGGCCAATTCCTGCGTACGCTTTTTTTTTTTTTTGTAATATACAAAATGATATTAACTGGAGAAAAGAAGCCAAAAACATGCGAGAGTGAGGAAAATATAGGCTTCTAACACTTAACAAAAAAAAAATGTATACAAAAAAAAAACGAAGAGAAACAAGATTACCTGAAGGTGTCCTGCAATTCGTATATCTCTTCTTCTAATTGCCTGATCTCTTTCTTCATGTCTTCGTTCTCGTCCATCAGGTTCTCGCACAGATTTTCCGCGGCTTTCAACTTTGAACGAAGCTCGTCCTTCTCTCTGTCTCTTTCCCCTCTGAATGTTTTTATATTCACTTCTTTCTCTAGCTCTCTGATTTTCGTCAACAGACTGGTCTTCTCTTGCGCGAGCGCTGAACACGACGGACAGAATTCGATCAACAGTTTATATTAATTCTTTAAATCAGGTCCGTCTTTACTTTCACGTAAATACCTTCGTTCTTCTTCTGTAGCTTCTGCACCTCGTTGGACGAGCTTTTGCTAGATATGGTTTCCATGGTCGCTAATCGTCTCATCAAGATCTCGCTCTTCTCCTTCTCTGCTTTCTCGCATCGCGCTTGCAGTTCGGTCACTTGTACTTTCAACCTTTCCACTTCGCTCTGCTCATAATAAATTTAAATGTTATTTCTTCGAGTTTGTCTTGCTTTTGGTTTCGTATCGCACTCAGTTTATGAACCTTGACTGATGACACACTGCTCGACGTAATTAGGGGATCTATTACAGCTTCTTTACGCGATATTATTTTAATTTCTCGTATTTAACGTCCCCTAATTACATTTCGAGCAGTGATCGATCGATACACTTAATCGCAATGCGCATTAATCAATACACTTAGGCATAATGTGACAGTGATGATGATCTAGCGATAATAGTTCGCGTAGCAACAGCGCTCCAAGTGTATTAAACCAGAGGCGATTAGTAAGATCAAAGATCGCCGAAACGGAAACGGTGAAGAAGAAGTGCAGAATGCTGATATTGTTACTTTCTCAGGCGTTTCCCCTTCCATCCGGTGATCCTCACTCTGAAGAGCATTTTTCGGAGGACCGGTCCGCGATTTCTTCACCTAAATATAGATAATGAATTCACATGATTTTCACAGATAACAGAATCACGTTTTCTCTGCCCACTACTGTTGAACTCTATTTTTATTCGGTAAATATAATATATACAGGGAAAGATCAATTTGTATTTCGTCGATAGCTTAGAGTAGGATGGTGAAACGGCGAATGATCATAGTACTATCTTAAGGGTGTGTACGTACAGGCCACAGAAAAAGATGATAAAGCTCGCGAAACGTCGGTGAAGTACTAAAGGAGTCCACAGGACAATACAAAACTCAAAACCTCGATTGGTTAACCACAAACTCACGAAGAAATACAGTGCTCCTCGTGTGGTTGAGAAAAATGTGTGCACGACCTTCAACATGTACAAAATACACCCCTATGTGCATGTTAGGACATGTAGAAAAATTACAAAAATTCTCAGAAAACGAGTAATTACCTTTTCCTGTATGTATTATACTTAATTAAAAAAAAAAGCAATCAATATTTTGTTAGTCGGTTGCTAGCCTGCGAGTTTTATGCATTTACAAAGCGTACAGACGAGAAAAACGCATGCAAAGTATGTAAACTTATGTAAAATTCATAAATGCATAAAATCAACGATCTAACTGTTCATCGAGTGAAGCTGAGAAGTAAGCAGACTCTGATCAGCCAACGATATCGACATCTGAAGACGACATAGAGAGAATAGCAAAAAGTTTTGAACAATTCCTTATTGCAACTCTGCGTGAAAAGCGTCGGGATGGAAGAAAGCGTTTCGTTAGGCTCGAGTCTACCTGAATTATGAACTCGACGTCGTTCTCTGAGGCTCGGTGGTTGCTGTTGTCTATCACTTCCTTGATCTGCAATTTTGACGGTCTCCTGGCTGCAAGAGCATTGCTGATTAAGTTACGTTAAAAGACCATATATTTGGAAAATTGTAGTACACTAGCTGTGCCTCGCGGTTTCACCTGTGTGGAGTATCATTCATTTTACATAAATCGCGTTTCAACTATTCAACCACGTGTTCCTTTGTGAACCAGTCGGTGACTGTCTTTTGTTTTTCGTAACTCACAAGGGAAGGCTCGGAAGTGATACTCACCGATTGCAATGAAATTTGGTAGAGTGATAGATCTATATCTAGAATAAGCGTAACTGTAATATTAGCCGCAGATGGCCAGACATTTTTGAGAAAAGTTAGTTCAAATATGTAGTAAAAGCCCATGCTAGCCACTATGCCGCTGACCTATACCTCTTGAAGTTGTGTTAGCGACAGGAATGCATCCCACTATGGGCTTTTACTACATATTTAAACTAACTTTTCTCAAAAATGGCTGGCCACCTGCGGCTAATATTACAGTTACGCTTATTCTAGATATATGTAGATCTATCACTCTACCAAATTTCATTGCAATCGGTGAGTATCACTTCTGAGCCTTCCCTTGTCGGAGGGAAGGCTCACTGCCTTCCCTTCAATCAATATTACAGTAGTTACCCCTCGATAAAGGAAAGAGTTTGTGGATCGGTATAATTACATTCCAATCTTTCTTCTTCCTTGTCGATGGCGGAGAGATCCATGAGCGACGTCCATCCAGCTGATGCCGTTGGCGCATCCGAGCTGCCCTTAAAATCATCCTTGGCCAAATTCGTGGCGGACGACCACACTCTTCTTCCATTTTCTGACGAGCTGACGATCGAGATCGCGACGAATCGAAATTGAAATAATTAATATAAGATAACACAGCACGGCTTGGAGGATCTACACAAATTTTCTAATCTTATAAATTTACCGTCCCGATGACTGTTCGAAGGAAAGACTAGGGGTGGACGATGTGATGTCCCTCAAGCTGTCCTTCTTACCCCCGTGCTCTTTGTAATCCCTGAAGAGATTTTCCAAGCATAAATTCCGGCGATACGGTATTCCTCTTTGCCGGTGTTTTTAATTATAAAGACAAACGTACCTGAAGCATCGTTTGCAGCGTGTGGGCCATCGGACTTGGGGGTGAAAGCCAAGGGGGCAGAGGGGGTCTCCTTTCTTCGACGAGTACATATGATGCATTCTGCGTGCGAAACCAAGTCAAATTGAATAATCGTATCCGAACTCGTGCTTCGTACGACGACACGTGTAGTGGGTCGCACATGTGGTTAAATCGCGGCTTGGAAACAGTGTCAATTCACAGAAATGCGAGACGGGTAAAAATAGAAACGAGAATGTAACGGGAAGATTAGCGAAAATAGTAAATACAATGGGATAGTAATTAGAATACGAAAACAATGAAAGTCGATGAAACAGGAACGCCACAACGTGGCCACATTATTAGGTTCGATGTAAAAATAGACAGTGTCAGTCAGTCAGAGTTCACAGCAACCCTGCTGCGACTCGAGACTCTCGACTACTCTCGAGAGCTTCTCGAGCCCATGCTTCGGTAAACCTATACGTCCGTGTAGTCATCTTCTTGCGCAACGATACATTTCCCTCCTGCCCAATTAATTATCATTCGATTATTAAACCGTGTTAGCACTCGCGACATGGGAAAACGCCGATCGTGTTATCGAACGTATAATTAAACACAAGAAACCTTCGTTTGGTTTAATCACGATTGCGTTAAAAGTAAACGACGATAATACAGGAAGATGTCGAACGGTTTCGTACCACCATAAACGATACGTGGGAAATTAAAAGGGTCGACGATCGAAAATCCGGAAAGATTTCCGACGTTTGGCATATCTCGCAAGGATGCACGTCGATACGTCGCCGGGATCTTCTCAGTTTTAATAGATAGCGACTCGAGGGAACCTAGAAACGAAACCTTGAATTAATAAGAGAATGCGTTTCGCAAGCGACAGGACATAGGGCAGCTTGGCTTTTCGCTGAACGCGAAATATTTGGCTGCCGTCGAACGGTGAATACGTTAATGAAATTCGGATAGTGACTCTGGCTTGGAGGATAAGGTATTATCCTGCGGAAATAAGTAGCTGTAACGTGGTGCATCTATCGAGCCAGTGACCCCTCGCATTTCTTAACTCGTTTACTAACGTCGAATCGCCACGTTTATTCAAAATATATTAGAAAATTGTTAGAAAAAAATGTATACGATAATTGTGGTAGAAAGAATGTCCTGAAAGTCCTCGAGGTCTACCCCCCAATATTTAAGGCACAGCGGTCGAGAAACGCTCCGTCGAGGCGACCTTGACACAAAGTTCTTAATTCGAATTCTTTTTCTTTCATTATCGACGAAAGAAAGTTATTTTCGTTAGTTTTGAATTACCGAAGCTTCACCCTGTAACCTTCCAAACAAGGATTTTCCTCGCTGAAATGAGTCAACGGCGACATCGTTGTTGTTATCAGACCGTATATAAGGTTCAGTGGTAGGGAAACAATTTCGAAGCATCTTAATGGAGGCCTGGTGACGCACTTGGTAGTCTTTATAGACTATGCGAGAAAACAGGTTTGTCGCAAAAATAGATTATCGCGCTTTTACGACTCGCAGAGATTCGAAACTCCGTCAGAAGGAATTAAACCGGTTGAAAGTTCGACGACGATCGATTTGAAACCCGAACTGACCAGCTGCGCGGACTCAAGGTCTCTTCGTCTGTACGATCTCATTGTGGACGCATTGGTATTTTCGATTTGTGCAAAACGAATCAATTTTTTACTGCATACGCGTTGTTATTGTTGTTGTTCGGCGCATCCATTAACTACGCGTTCGTTTCGATACGTTATTTTTCTTTCTCGAACGAGAACCAGAGTTAAAGAGAACTAAGGGGGGAGTCTGGTCCAGCTGATGTATTTTTCTAATGCATATCATTTCCAGATATAATTAATTTTTGTTATTGAAACTTTTTTTTTTACATATAAAGGGACGTTCAAAGAAGAAAATTTGACAGTGTAGATTTAATTTGAATGTATACATACAGTGGGTGTAGAATGTATTCGTACGCCGATCAATTTCCCGAAAAACTTTTCTGTGAAATTGTAGTTTATTAATTAATTAATTATTCTCGGAAGTCTCTAAGATAGATATAGTCCAAACAACAAGGGTCGTGCAACAAGTATAGAAGGAATATGTATTTGTACGATTCTTATGACGAACCATTTACAGCAGAGTTTGTAACGTAAACACATTAGTTTATTGCTCCGTGCGAATTAGGAAACATCAAATTTCCAAAAAGTACTTTTAAACAGTTGTCCGAATACTTATTGCTTCAACATTTCTATCGATTAATTGTTTTTTTTTCTTGTTAATTTCGCAACTATACATAAATAGCTATTTTTTTTTCGTAATCTATCTATTTTAGACATTTCCGAGAATATGTAGAATGTCATTGTTTATAAAAAACAAGTTAAGAAACTACAATTTCACACAAAAGTTTTTTGGGAAATTGATCGGTGTACGAATACATTCTACACCCACTGTATATATGTATACATTCAAATTAAATCTACACTGTCAAATTTTCTTCTTCGAACGTTCCTTTATATGTAAAAAAAAAAGTTTCAATCACAAAAATTAATTATATCTGGAAATGATATGCATTAGAAAAATACATCAGCTGGACCAGACTCCCCCCTTAAGAGCGAGGGGGCAAGTACCCGTCCAACGCGCTGCAAGACCATTCGAATCTATGGGGTCTATACTATATCCTCTTAAAACTAAGAAACCATAATAAACCTAAGTAAATCGTATTACGAGCCACGTTTGGAAACTTATGCAATTCCGTATCGACTGTTCACTCACTTGATCGATGGTAATCCAAACGCAGCAGGCTGTCGCGATTAAATTTATCCCGAAACAGTCGTTAAGAGCCTTCCATTCCGAGGGAACAGGTTGAAACCGTCGATCTCATATCAGTCGAACCAGACGACCGATCGACGATACGATTGATACACTATTCGAAAACGTTCCTTCTATCGACAACGATCAGCGCGCGTGCAACGCTTAAAACGGTTTACATCGCACGGTGGTCTTTCTTCTTCTTCTTTTTTTTTTTTTTTTTAATTTTCTTTATAGACCGCGACTTTCGCAAACCGTCGATAGACGTCACTAACACCACTGACACGATGCTTCTATTACGGGGGTTAGGCCGTTACTCGAACTCGGGCCCGTACGTATGGTAATTTGGAGACTAGCCAGGGTGTATATTTATCTCTAGCTATAAATATAGCACGTCTTGCGAGCATTTCGCATACACATGTGCGTGCGCGGGGGGCTGAACGGGTAACCTAGGATCTCTTGATCCATGGTAGACAGACTAGTGCCAGGAACCGGCAGCGGTTCCATAAATTGTCATTCCTTTCTTTTTTCCTCGGGACGTTTGCGGAGGGTCATGCGAACGTTTCGCGTAAATCAACGTAAACTCTCTTCGATAAACGGGGGAATAGGTTTGCGTTTAATTTTCCAGAACTCGACCTAAGTACCTAACCTAACTCAGACCTAAGTACACCTACGTACACAATTTTCTTTATTTTATTATATTTGATCTAGAGCTTCTTTGATACCAGTATCAAACACGTCGTTTCAGCTAGATTACGCGTGGTCCTCGTCGCGTGTATATATAGAACTAAGCATGTGGGAGGATAATAAATTGGGTGGTGGTTAACATTAGAAATGCCGAGGGTCAATGCATACTTATCGTGCAGGTATCACTGTATCTCTGAAAAGTGGAAGGAGAAAGAAATTTATGAATGCAACTTTTGAACAAAATTAAAGAAACAAATATCATCTATGATGCATTATCGCAACCCACTGCCTCGCAATAACATTTTCGCATACGATCCTCTAGTTGTCGTTGTGTAATCAGTGTTTACCGAGACACAGATAACGTGCGTATGCGAACGAACAAAGTTTTCTTATTTTATTATCAAGTATTTGTATCGAATGATACCGTGATATTAGTAAACATTTATAAGTACGTTCTCGATATTATCTTGTTAAATATTTAAATTTGAAGGAAGACGATTACAGGCAAAAGTTTCATGATTAAAACATTTCCTTTATGGGTTATCAACATTGGAGCCACTGATATTAACCTTTATTCTTTATCCAGGTTAAATATACACGTTCTCGAGGTAGAGTGAACCAGCTTGAATAGAATTTTTTTTTTAATTTAACTGGCAACGGTACTTTTAACAGCAAACACGAGCGTAAAATTAATCGAAATTCATGGTTTCTGAATTTCTTCGTAAATAAGATGCATTATTTATTTGAAATAAAAACAGAATTCGTTTCAATGTTTTTGTTTCATTTATTTTATAATAAAAACAATTTCATATGTATAAAATCCTACACCTTTCTCTTTATAAAAATCATATATAATATTTGTATTGCACCCTGTTTCCAACTACAGTGTTATTAACAATACATAGTAAGAATTCCAACAGCACTTGCAAAAGTAATAATCCATAAGAATGTAGATTACAAGAATATTTTTAAAATAATTCTTCTACTTCAAAATCAATTCATTACTTTATGAAATTCTATCGTTTAAATTAATCTACATTGTTATGGAGTATTCCTGAAATGTAAATAAGAAGTATAAAAAATAATAATACGTGTCCCTTATTGTATGATAAACACGTGTTAATAAAATGACAATAGCATCGCGCGTATACTAGACGCACAATATAACAACGATATAAGTTCGATGGACCTTTAATAATTAATATTTAACAAGTAAACCAGAAACAAAACGATCGTTCTGGTTTAAAATCTATGAAAAGATAATACGAAGATGTAGTACAAATTAATCTCAGATGTAATTTAAATCAATTTAAGCTTTCAATACAATCATTACAATTACATTTATGCGGCTATTAAATGTACCTCGTTTACAAACTTATTTATTTATGTATTCAGTACGTATTTCTTATCATTTTTGCATTAATCGTACGAACATTAAACACAAATTTATTCAGACTTAAAAAAATAATTTGTGTATCCCCTTACTATTAATAGTAATCTTTATAACAGTAACAGTGTTATTTATAAAAATAAAATTCGAAGTCAATATATTAACTATATAATATTACATTTCATACTGACAGTCAACGACTTTTTGTTTTTCTTTACTATATTGCTATTATATCAAAAAACAATGTGTACGAATACATCACGAATGTAAACGAATATAATACAGCTTCGAGTAAGTAGATGAAATTTGTCTAATCCCAAAATCTCACGATCTCCGCAATTTTTACAACTTAGAACGAAGAAGATCGATTTTCTTAGCAGCATGCTTTTTCAAATTAATCAATTTCATTGCCATTCCCATGTTACCACTAATTTTAATTTTTCCTTGGAAGAAGGCTTTCTGCGGATTCAATTTTCCAGTAATAAGATCAACGATATCTGCATCGTTAATCGTGATCGTAACATCGGGTTTAGTTTTCCCGTAATATTCAATTTTTCCTTTTCCTGTTTTAGCATCTACGATCCAGAAGCCCTCCGCACCACCTGTTCCAAGTACCTTGAATCCGTATACTCCGCGAACTGTATTTATCAAATCATCTTTGTCCTCTTGCATTGCAATTTCTAATATTTTGAACAACGCGTACGCTTTGAAAGAAGTTGCATCTGGAATTCCACTCACATTTTTCTTGACTGCTCCTTGTTTAGGGAAGCCCATACGATACAGAGCAACTACAACTGCTCCACCTAGACCTATATTATGTTGCAATGCAAGTTTTGCGTTTGGCACTTGTCTTTTACCAGCTTGACCTCGAAGTTGCCAGCACAGTTCGCTACACTGTGCCAATCCTGTTGCTCCCAAAGGGTGTCCTTTCGAGATCAAACCGCCGCTCGGATTTACTACATATTTTCCCCCGTATGTATTATCTCCCGCATCGACTAATTTTCCACCTTGGCCAGGTAAACAGAGACCTAAAGCTTCGTAAGTAATGAGCTCGTTAGTCGAGAAACAATCGTGCAATTCTACAACATTCACGTCGCTTGGTTTATAATGACACTGCGAGAATAGTTTCTCGGCCGCATTTTTTGTCATATCGTAACTGCAAACGTAAAGACAATAACGTCATTTATTTTTATTCCTGAATATGAACACAGATTTTCTAAGGAATACATCTCTTACTCTTACCCGATAAGCTTAATAGCGCTCTTTTCTGTGAACGTCGACGGCAGATCCGTAGACATTTCCATCGCCACGATTTCTACCGCTTGCGACTCGAGTTTATGTTTACGTACAAAGTCTTCATTGGCCAGAATTACAGCAGCCGAACCATCGGATGTCGGACAGCACTGAAGTTTGGTAAGTGGTCCAAATACTTTCGGAGATTTCATTATCTCTTCCAAACTATATTTCTCTTGGAATTGAGAATACGGATTGTTCGTGGAATGTAAATGATTCTTATAAGCGATCTTTGCAAAATGCTCGGGTTTTGTACCATATTTTTTCATATGCTCAATCCCAGCATTTCCAAACAGCTGGGCAGTAACTGGACTGGCATCCATACCTGAAATTAAGGGTGGGAAGAAACATAAATAAGGTTGAATTATAAATTTTGTAAGGTTGTATATCTAAATAAATCATTGCAAAGTTACCAGCAATTTCAGACATGACTTCCACGTGTTTCTCCATAGGATTCGTGCGATCTGTAAATTTGGACATCAAGGAGCCTCTTTCCATCTTTTCAAATCCAACAGCCAAAGCACAATCTATGGAACCGCTTTCGATCATTTGTTTAGCCATAAGCAAAGCAGTAGAACCAGTGGAACAATTGTTATTTACATTGTATATGGGACAACCCGTAATACCAACTTCATACAATGCCCTTTGACCACAGGTGGAGTCCCCATAAACGTATCCAACGCAGGCAGCTTTCACGGCATCATAAGAGATACGTGCGTCTTGCAAAGCCTTCGTAACAGCTTCTTTTGCCATGTCAGGATAATCTACATCATCTCGTCTGCCTGGTTTCTCGAATTTTGTCATACCGACACCAACAACGTAAACCTTCGTTTTCGGTGACATCTTGAGTATTTTCGAAGTGAAACGGAGAGAAATTGAAGTCCGTACAAGATATTAGCAAAGTTAATGCTCCTACTGCAGCCTTACTGATTAAGTCAATGTGTGGTACACCTTATTGATAAATAGCGCAAATAATGTTGGACTTTAATCTCAGATGAATTAACTAATCACAAAAAAGAAATCAAATAATTACATGGCAAAGTTACTTCGTCACTGTCACTACACGCTCATTTGCTGAGCTGTATTTGTTTGAAGTAAAGTGGGAAGTTGTGTGTGTACATATATATGCGCGTGTGCGTGCGGTCAGTAATTAATACTAGTGGCGTCATCGGTGAGAAAATGCCCAAGTTTGTAGTGTAAATAATTCTCGTTGTTCCTCCTAGATGGCGCCTCTAACTAAAAAGTCGATAATTATTATTTAATTAAATAAAATATACTGAAAGATGATGAATTGGTTATGTTAACGAATATATTGAAGCATTATGAAGCACAGAATCATATTAACTATTTACAAATGAAAAATGAAGTATAAATTATTCAAAGATAACGGTGACGCCATCGTACAGAATTAGTGGGTACTATTTTTGCTACAAACTTGGGCATTCTTCCACCGATGGCGCCACCAATCCTTTAATAAATTATTCTTTATCTTTCATAAATTTATAGTTAATACGATTCTATGCTTCAATATATTAGTTAATATAACAAATTAATCATCTTTCAGTTCATTTTATTTACTTAAACAATAATTATCGACTTTTTAGTTAGCGGCGCCATCTAGGAGGAACAACGGGAACTATTTTCACTACAAATTTGGGCATTTTCCCACCGATGGCGCTACTAGTATTAAAATTCACACACATAACCACTATGCATAGGTGAGCACAAACACCACCACAGAGTAGTTTAACAGAGCAGAAACTCTCCTTGAAATCTTTAATATTTATTGTTCCAGTATTTTCGGATCAGAAAACATGTCGATGTTGAATAAAGTTTTTAAACATATCGTATGAAACTAATCAAAGTATAAATTCCGCGTGAACCTCAGAGTACGGGACTATTAGATATGCCTACAACGGCAGCTAATAGATCGACGAAATGTTTGCAACTTTGTCCAGAATATTCAATTATTCTCTCGTTGTTTTTATACCTTGTAAAACTATGATACAAAATGTTACTTCGAGAAAATATAATATGAAACGCATAGAATCGTCGGTTGAAAACTTTGAAGGTTTCGAAGAAACGTTCTTAGTGAATTTCGTTCCTATATATGCTAGAACGCGTTTCTCAAACCGAGGACTGAGGTCCATGGACCCCCTCACATACAATTGTTTTTAAACAAAAATTCACAGGCATTAATCATAGGACTAAATCAGATTAAATCAGACTTTGAGTAATTTCCATAGGCACACGCGATTAATATACGATTAATACTTAATAAATCTAACGATCAGAACATGCTTTTTCTCGTCATTATGCAGTGCGAAATTGCACGAGAAATTTTAAGGCCCCGATACGAGGAAGCATTCTCTTGCTTCTATCACGATATTCCTCTCTTTATTTTTTAACAACCCACAGACCCCCAATGATCCACGGGCCACAGTTTGAGAAACTCTGTGCTAGAAAATCGCGCCGGCCATTGCGCGCTCGTGTTTTGGTTCTGAAAAGATGGCGGACTCTTGTTTTCAAGATCGTTCATATAGAAATACGATAATTTTGAAATGCACTGTGAAAGTTGACATGTCGTATGCGTGATAGCGTCAAGTGCACGAAAGTATCGTTACGACAGATTTAATTGCCGTATCGAGGGAGTTACTTCGAGCGTTGTAACTGACGCGAAAGCGGTGTCTTCAGCGTGTGGGATTACACGAACTCTGATTCCAGTGGTTTTCAAAGATTTCTGTTGTTTTGTGTACGAAACAGCCCACGAGGAACTGGAGGACAACATCGTCGCTCGGAGAGTAAAATGATCTGACCCCGATGGACTTTTACAATGTTTAATACATCGATGATCGATGCATTGGGTACGCTTATTTGGTTAGGTTGATTTGCTAGGTAGACGTTATACCTATGATACCCGAGCAAAGCTCCACGTGTTCCTCTCGGTGGTTCACGTTAAAGCGTGACATCCAGACAAGTTCGTAGATTGTTTATTAAATGAATTGTGCTTGCCCATAATGGCCACAAGCGAATTCGACGTGGAGCTCTTCGAGCGAAGGCTTCACACACTCAAGGATTCCCAGGAGTCGATACAGGGTCTTTCAGCCTGGTGTTTGGAAAGACGACAGCACCATAAGAAGATTGTTGCCACTTGGCTGCAAGTGCTGAAGAAAGGTGAGTTTTTTCAATTTGGAACAGTATAAATTATGATATCGTATAGCCTATTTTGATGTCGAGTCCCTTACAATATCTAAATTAAAGGTTTCACCTGAGTACACTATTTTGTTTACAGTACTTATTAAGAAATGCTCTGTACATACCTCCATTTTATAAACAATTTATTTACAGTTCAACTATCGAGCTCTGTATTCTCGATGGGTTAATATTGTAATCTATGCATTTTATTTGAACATCGTTATAATTTGAAAGTTCTCACCATTATTTCAAAGAAGCTTACTCGTACTTTTTTGTTTACGTGTGCTTCTATTAATGTGTATAACGTGTTTTCTTTTTCTTTTTTTTTTCCTAACACACCGGATAATACTCCAATGTTTTTTAAATAACAGTAAAAGTTGAGCATCGTCTCACACTGTTTTACTTGGCGAACGACGTTATCCAATACTCGAAAAGAAAGAATTTCGAGTTCGTGGAATCATGGGGCACGACTCTGCAACGTGCGACGACGATGGTTCGAGACGAAAAAGTGAAACATCGTATATTGAGGATCTTCAAAATATGGGATCAACGACAAGTGTACGACGAAGAGTTTCTCGCAGATTTGTCCGGGCTAATTTCGGCGGCACCGAAAAAGAAATTAGATCCTCAGCCAATGGCCCCACCGGAAGAGTTTCAAGCTGCTCTGCTCATTTCTACGATGAGATCGTGCGCTACGTTGGAACAAGCAACGGACGCACGATTAAGAGACTTACGGGAAAGTAACATCGACATAGAAAACGCAGAGGAATTGTGCGCTTCTTTAAAAGATCGAAGAAGAGTCGAAGACGCGGAGAAAGAAGTCGATTCGGCAGTGAGAAACGTTGAAAACTATGTTCGCGCGTTAGAAGCAGAGATCAGAGAAAGGACACAAGTGCTTGAGTTATTGGAACAAGCCGATCAGTTTTACGAAACTCAGAGAGGAGAAGTTAAAATAGTTACTAATGTAAGTACGTTAAAAAAAAAAGAAATAGCAGGTACTCGTTATAATTATCGGTACGATGTTTTAATGTTTCACGCTTTTACTAAACAGGCATATAGGAATTTCGGAAGTCGCGTGAAAAACTTGAAGAAGAAGTTGGACGAATTGTTACCTACATTGATTTCTCCAATCCCGTCGCCAGATATAAATGCTCCATCTCCGAGTCCTGATAGCGATATCGAACTTCCAGGCGACGAAACCATGGTTCAAAGTCAGCTAGGAATCATAGACGTAGCCCCACCGTCTATGTACGGTTCTTACTCCCACGAGTACGATCCTGCGCCAGTACCAGCTCCAGAATTGGGCCAGGCCAACGACTCCGGTGACTTTACCAACAATTTCTCATCCTTTATCGGAGGAAATATGGATTTTGGTAATATGGTAAGATCTTACATTTCAAAAAATATATTGTCTTCGATAAATATTATCGTAACCGTCGTCCTCTTCGTTACAGAGAAATTTATTTAACGAAAGATCGTCAACGCCTACTGGAATGTCGCAACAGTATAACGATTCTTTAGAGGTACGTCCGACCAAGTCGTGCATTTATCATCTATCGAAACGGTATATAAATTTTATACACTTTTCGTTAGGCTAAACCGATAGAAGTAATCAACATGAGGCCCTCCAAGAACGAAAATAGCAACGTAGACTTCAATATCTCTAGCTTTTTAAAGACTGTTCTTCCTTCTTCCGACGGAACACAAGACCCCGGTGGTATACCGGGCCTCGGACTAGATATTCCCGAAACACAAATCGAATCTCCTCAGCGTTCGAATTACAGACATTCGCCTGTACTAGGACAGCATCCTGTAACTCCTGTGATCTCAAGAATGATGGGCAATCAGAGCACGCCCATGGGTGTAAATAATTGCCAGTTAAGTCACAGTACTCCGCTGCCCGTACGGAACTTGTCCGGCGAGTCGCATACCCCTTCCCCTTACTCCAGTCAAAACAGTCAGAGCAATATCATCGGACCTTTCGATGGCCCTAATAATAATAACACCGTCAATCCCTTACCACCCCCGCCGTTACCTCCGCCTATATTCCTCGACGACGAAAATTGTTACAACAAATTGCCACCTAAATTCCCTACCTGGACTCCTCCGAGCGAAAGCATCAAGGAACCTGCCAAGTGGGAAGAAAAGGGTATGGAGCTTACTCTGAAACGCAAAATACGGCGGTCTGATTTTAAAATAACGAAAATGCTTTTTAATGTAGCGGGTTTCGCTATATCTTCAGGCAAAAATAGTATGAATCCAACCTGGCCTGGTGAGTGCGATGAGAAATCGAAAGCGTGGATGGACGGAGATTCGGATAGGTGGGATCCTAGTAACGAGACAACGTGGGTGAACACCGGTAGAGGGAAAAGCGAAATCCTGAGCGAAACGCCAGAATCGCCGCCTATATACGAAAAGGCTGGATTCACGGATCCGGTAGAGTACGATGACCCCCAACCGCAAGAATCTCTTCTGAGTACCACCGGAGATGTGGACCACAGGTGAGGAATCGAATACCTACGGTGATAAGCTAAACTGAATAGAGTAAACTGTATTCAGGTTTGCTCGACGCAATTCATAATCAATTGGTGCACGGGTCGCTAAATATAATTTTTCAGAGTAATACCGATTCCGATGACCGTGGAGAATCCGTTGCCGTATCGACTGATGAAAGCAGCGGACGTCGATCATCGTAATCTGATCAGCTTGACGGGAAGTCCGGCGAATCACAACGTCAGCGAGAGCTCCATGAACACGATACCCAATAGTAGTAGTTTATGGTCCACGAGCGATCAGGATTACCGGTAAGATACTGAGATGCCGATATTAGGTTACGATTAGTTCATAACCATTGGAAATAACTTTTCTAAACGTCGACCGTTCGC